ACAACAGAATGTCTGTCATTGTCAGTCAGGAGAGAGAACGGCAGACAATGAGAAGTAGAGGACGTCGTTCCACTGCGCGCCAAATGTGAGAAACGTGAGAATTGTATTTTGTATTTTTTGCATGTTTTTAACAGAAGTTACAGAACAATACATTCACCGATTTTCCTCTTATTTGCCGAGCAGTGGAGGGAGACCCGAAATTAGTTTCATTGCACGGTAAAAGGGAAAAATACCCCCCCCCTATCCCCCCCCCCCCCCCAAAAAAAAAAAAAAAAAAAAGCTCTTTGTTGTACTACACCTTCGTCGCGGGACTAATATCTCCTTTCCTGCAACCCAACCGCGAACGACGACTCAGCATCATCTTTTTTTTTTTTTTTTTTTAATCAGCACCTTTTTTAATAATTCCTAGTATTATTTTCTTCACCGGATTCCATCAGGGTTCGAGGCCATAACCTTCTTTTTCTTTTTTTAAACTCTTTACTAACAGTTATATATGTGTATGACGGATGAATTTTATAATTCCCACCTTTATTTTTTTAATTTTTTTTTACTGTGATGTGCTGAACTAGAATCCCCACATTTTATTATGCTCTCGTAAACATAACTATAAAAAAATAAAAAATCAGTGTTTAAATTTGATTGCAATCAGTCACGGATCGATCTAAAAGATCGGAACGATCCGGGTCTTTTTTTTTTTTTTCTGAAGAAAAAATCCAGATCTAGCGGTTAGGCGGAAATTATATGGACGTAAAGTCTCAACATTTACTGTAAATGAAATTTAGTAAATCACGTAGGTTACCAGAGTGGCCGGGATCCACTTGCCCGGCCGGGCAAAAAAGAAATAAAAAAAGAAAAAATAAAAATATTTTTTAGTTAAAAAATTTGTTTTAAGTTTGGTTATTTTAAGTTTGGTTAAGAATTTCGATGTGACTCTGAGGCAAAAGTTGTTCAGTTTTTAAGGGGAAAAAAAAAAAAAGTTGTTTCAGTTTATTTTTCTGCATACAATAAGTTTTTTTTTTTTTTTTGGCTTGGACCTTCCCTGGTCCTTGCACTGCCGGGCCGCCCGGAAAGTAGGGTGACCCGGGCGTCCCGGCTGGTAGCCTAATAAATCACTAAATCAACGGACGGATGCTTTTTTTTGGCCACGTCAGCAAGCCGCCGACCAACCGCCGATGTGGACAAATAACATCTGTCCGTTGATTTTTTTTTTTTTTCCGAGGGGGGGGCGGGGGGRGGGGTTGAAATCGAACGCGGGTTTATGGTGTACCAACTGAGCTATGCCCATTGTTGGTGCCCGTTGATTTTTGGAAACGGATTTTTTTTTTTCTTGGGTCGATTAATTTGGAAAAATAACATCCGTCCGTTGATTTTTACATATAAAAATGGATTATATTGTTGAATTTTGCATCCGATCAGTTGAATTTTTGGCATCCGTTCGTTGAATTTTTGGCATGGATTGTATTTTCGAATGTTGCATCCGTCCGTTGACTTTGGGGAGAGGATATGATTTTGTATTATATTTTAATTGGTAGATAAATGTGGATAAATAGATAAATGTGGATAAATAACATCCTTTCGTTGATTTTTTTTTTGGAGCGGATATTATTTTCGTATATTTGAATTGGTTGATTTATTTTGGAGTCAAGGGACAATCTAAATCAGTGAGTGGGAAGGGGTGATCTTAACGAGTTAGTCGGATTAAAAAAGAAAAGAAAAARAAAAGAAAAAAGGAAAAAAAAGGAAAAAAAAGGAAAAAAAAGGAAAAAAAAGGAAAAAAAAGGAAAAAAAAGGAAAAAAAAGAAGAAGAAAAGAAAAGAAAAAGAAAAAAAAATCAGTCAGTGATGTCTATGGATCGCAAATTAATCGAAAAAATGTACCGAGAGGGGCAACGTGAAATCTCCCCTTCACAGAGAGAGGAAACCTATGCTTGGGATTGATCTACTTTTCTGCATCTCTGCTTGAAACACGTCCAGATTCGGGCGCTTAATCCCAAATCCTTTGAGCTCGAGGGACCTCGCCCCTGGAGATTCACTCACCTACACCATCATGCCGATCTGCTGATTTGGTCTTTATTATCTTAGATGGATTGAATTTATTTTATTTTTCTACTTTTCAAAAGTTTTTTTTATCCGTCTGATTTAAAAAAAAATATATATATATTGGGGTGATCACAACTGGCTATATTCTTCTCTCAACTTCTGTTTGTTTTTACCTTCCACTACCTACT